CCTAAAAGAGTAATTGTAAAGTTAAAATACGATCAAAAACGGAATAATAACTAGCGATGAAGCTGATATACAAAATCGGCACAAATAATCTTGACTTTAGCAATCACGCATTGAATTTTAGGTACATCGATAAAAAGCAGGCACACTTTCATGACAAATAAAAAATATTTGGTTGCTTCAAGTTCTTCATTCAGTTAAATTTTGGCCAAGACCTCAACAGAAAATATAATGTAAACAAAGATTTATGTGCGTATGCATCTTTGTCTGCATCTTTTTTTTATCCCGCTAATTTCTGACAGAGATCAGGCTGGTGGGCTCATTTGTCGCCACAGGTCTTAACTCCAACTATAAAAAAATATCCCGCTAACAAGCCATCATCTGATTATGGAAGATATCTTATCGCAATGATAATTTCTTCCGAATTCTTCTCCTTGACCATTCATGACATTACGAAGCAGACAATGAAATATCAAGTTCGCAGGTGTGGTAGAGTTTCGCATAGCGCTTCTCAGTTAGCCGATAAGATCTAATGTAGGTTCGTCTGAAATGGTTCCCATATTTCAACGAGACCTACAGCAGACTCGACCCAGTAAGGACTCCATACGAGCATGAACGAACTTGATCAGCCATTATTCAGCAACCGTGTTAAATTACGCGGTGAGTTTCATTCACAACTTGCGTGGAATCCCTTTCTCGAGTAAATGTGTTTCTTTGTCCCGTACCAGCGATGCGTCAAAGTTGGGTCTCACATATCGCCGGCTGCAAACAGGGCTACAACAGATCCGGCGAATTTTCAACGCTAAACAAATGTGAAGGATTTGAGATCGTCAGAGGCGAGAATTTTGCCTTACATGACCCTCAAAAGCAACGAACAAAAGAGCTACTTCGCCAAGGAACATGAATACTCGGCGTCTTCACGATCCCACTTCTTTTGGATGAAGATTTTTTGTGCTTGTCCATGTCTTCTGCTCAGGTAATTAGTTTTTCGTTCGCATTAGAGCGTCTTGAGGGCGAACGAACTGCCTTCCCCATAATGCGATGGCAAGTTCTTGGTCACGGACGAGACGTCCAGAAAATCCTATCAAAGTCGATCAAAAGATCGCCAAGTAAGGTTACTTCTACGGAGAGCGCACGATAGAACACAGACGTCGCGAGGTTCGTGGGTGTGCTAGCCGTGATTGGTTCACAAAAGAGCCAGGTGCGCGCGGGATCTCGATGTAGAAAAATACTCAAAAGAGGTATATTTTACGAAAAGAGTGGTGAAGCTGTCTGGGTTACATAGAATGAATGGGAGATACTTTCAACAAAACAATGCAAGAGTACAATTCAATAGTACTTGGGCAGCAGTGCGTTTCTCGATCAAACGATCCAGAGCTTTAAAAATCACTTACACCGGAATTTCGCCCATATGCAAGCCAATTAAACAAGACAGCGCGAATTCGTATAAGAAACTATATCATTTATTAATACTAAGAACATAAGAGGAACGATGAACAAGCGCGTTTGAATTCGGAAACCATCAGATTTAAGCGAAGAGGGAGTTAAAATTTGATTCAACGTTCATAGTAAAATGAGTTTCATGGGACCATCTCTTCAACAATTTGAACCGTTATATGTTGCTTAACATGATTAATAAACAATGATCGAAGAAAATCGAGTACGCCACATTGAAACAAGAGAAATATTCGTAGATTTAAATTTTCACAAAATCTGAAGGTAAATGTCTTTGATACTTTTGAAGAATTCAAAAGTATCAAAGACATCTTTGGGTTCTTACTCATCATGTATGGTTCAAACATACAGATAATCAGACAACTAGAATTTTCCGAGTAGTTTTCAATGATAATTATTCATTTATAGAGGAAGGTCTGAAATACTGCGACATTCCTTCTCCACTGCACTCAAAGTTCTTCAAAAAACTTTCTAAGAAGAAAAAGTTTACTCCTTGGTAGAAGGAAAAGAATATACTCGTGATACTTGCACAAGTCAATGAAACGGTTCAACCTTATTAATGCAATGAAGAGGGCTGCGGTAGTTGTGATAACTTAATTTGCGGCAAGATAGTCCTTGAAGAAGAAGCGATTTTTGAAGAGTCAATATTCAATGCAGTATCGCATAAAACAATTCAATTGTCTTTAATAATTTGTTAAGTAAGAGAAAATTACAAACGTAAACGGCTTAGGTAGCGCTGAAATGCAGTGAATGAATAGTACACCTGAAGAAACGAAACTGTGCAAAAACTTCATCGGCGACCTTTATACCAGAGAGTTGTAATGCCTAGCCACACGACAGGTCGAACAAATATTATAGTAACGTCGTATTTATGGAATTTTCAAATTGTTGTTGATGTTCGTAGTCTTCAATAAGTTGAACGTCATCTTTGTTGAAGACTTTTTAGATTTACAGTCTAGTAATCTCATTATGTCCGCAAAATTTTTTTCATCTAGTTTATTCGTCATGGTGGTAGGTAAGTCCTAGATGTATGTAATGTAGAAATATTGCATGTGATGCGGGCTTGCATTGCAAACGTCGTGCAAATGGTGCAAGAACTTCGCGTTTTTATTGGATAGAACCGCGATCGTGTTCAGTGATTTCACGTGAAGTAAAATTTACTTTACTGATTTTACTTCACGTGAAGTAAAATCACAGGCAAAACTGTCCAGATAATGAAAAGCTAAGCAATAAAGTGAAGTGTTGCAAGAAGCTCCATGCGTGGGAATGGATCGATGTTGATCGATAGAGTCGACCTCTTGCCTGGTTAATTATTATTGCTCCTCTGAGTTCACAAAAGCCGCGATATTTGGACCTGTTGCGGTTGAGGTCATCAGGTATGCTTTAGTTCAAAATTAAAATAAAAAAATTCAACCGCATTTGATCTTACGCGAACGGAGTATTTTCGCTCATGGTTGAACTAATTTAGTTCAGCCATGTTTTCGATCATCGTTAACGTAGTTCGAAGCATGCAAGACAAACGTCATGATACTTGATATTGAACTTAACAGAACATAAGTTTTATTACAATGAAGCCAAATGATTTTCGAATCTTAATCTTCAATTTGGATTAGAGACACTTTTTCTCTCGATCTTTAAAAAGGATAAACAGATTTTCCTTCTCCCAAACGAGATCATCACGGTTATCCTAAGCAAGTCGAAAATCTACAGCATGCTTTGCTTCAGCCTGCTGCGCAAAACAAAAATCCACGTCCAAATCAAACACACGGTAATTTTCACGCGCATTAAAAAATAATGAATAACAAACATGAAGTAAAATGCTTCATCAGTTACGAACTCAGGTTATTAAGATATTATTACATTTGAACTCAATGCCCTGTTGGAAATTAAAGAGGCTACAGCAGAGCAGCAGCGGTGGAGGTCTCCACCGAGACGGCCTACATACACACGCACGCACGTCGGACGCGGCAGCGCCAGTTAGCATCGCCGCGCCTCCCACACGCTCACGTTAAAGCTAAACTGCACCTCGACTTCGTTCTTGCACTCGGGGATCTCGAGAAGAGAGAAGTTTCGGCGACACGGATATCAAAAACAGGAATTCTTTAGCACCAACTAAAAGTGATTTTTTAAATAGTTCAATTAAATCATAACGATGAGTTTCGCATCAAAATATCATGTTATTTTTTGCCGTATTAGGGTCACAGAGGGCAGGGTGGGTAACAGAGGGCAGGGTGGGTAACAGAGGGCAAGGCCACGGTCATGTCTGCAGAGGGAGCCAATCAAGAGGAAACTAAGGGTTACAGTGCAGCGAACGAGGGAAACAAGGTGCGAAATTAGAGGACCGACCGCAGAGACGATGAAAAGTAGCAAGATCATCGTGCTTGTATCCCGGTTAGGCTTGCAATAGATAACATTGGGATACTTCCGCGACAAGACAAAAAAAAAATCATCAGGACACGACACAGGACGTTGCAAGAAAAATATTAGTAGGAAAAAATTGTTTCGTTTGTGCGGTGCAGAAGCCAATAATACATTGCCGGATATGTCGAATATTTCATCAGATTTCTTATCTATACCATCTAAATCTGCGATAAAATGCCTCCCTAAAAAATTTGTTACTCTTTGTACTATATTTGTTGTTTTATGAACCATTAGAACCGTATAATGGTTCATGCTTCAATTTGCGTATTTAAACACAAACATTGTGTTTAATTTTTAAATTTTAACAAAAAATTTTTTTGACACACGAAAAAATATGGTTGAGTGAATTTATAAAGTGATCACATATAGCGATTTCAGAATCGTAATACCATGAGTCAAATCAACAATTCATATGAATCATTATTTAATTATCGAATAGCAATAACTCAGATGAAATATTTACTGTACAAAAATTTGTCAAGGTTTTGATGATTGCCAGTTAAAATTTTTAGAGTAGTTCAAGCTTAATAAATAAACGTGTGTCGCTTATGTTAAATCAGGTATATCTTAACCACTATCAGTTGAATATTCACATAAATAACTACGAAGAGTTAGCAGAACGTTAGTAGAAAATGTATCAAAGGCTAATTTAATTGCTTTACATCACAAAAACATGAACAAGATATTACCACAATGGATAAAAGACAGAAGAAATATTTAAATATAAATTGACGTTAAACGACTATGTATTAAAATAATGGTGCAGAATAGTTGAACTTCAACGCATTTGACACACAACTCCGACAGCTTCTAAAACATTATATTAGATTATTCAGATGAGTGGAAAACATTATAATTAGATTAACTAGCAAAGCGGAATCAAATATTATTAGATTATATAAACAAGTGCAATACGTTATTATTAGATTACTTAAACAAGGCTAAACGTTATTGTTAGATCACTTCAATAAGTGAAAAACGTTATTATTAGATTACATGGATGCGTACAAACAATATTTTTAGGTTATTTGCATAAATTGAAAACATTATTAATAAATTACTAAGATAAATGGAAAACATTTGTATGAGATTACTCAAGATAGACCAGATTGCATCTCAATACTCACTGCCTTCGTCGGTCATGACAGCGACGGTAGCGTTGGGGCCTGCGCCCGTGGGGTTGAAGACGCGCAGCGACACGAGATATTGCGTGAAGGTCTTCAGGCCTTGAATTACAGTGCTCTGCAACCCGAACAGTGTCAGTACAATACAGTTCATGGTATTACAGTGCTCTGCAACCCGAGCAGTGTAAGTACAATACAGTTCATGGCATTACAGTGCTCTGTAACCCGAGCACTGTCAGTACAATACAGTTTATACTGTATTGCATTATAGCGCTGTAAGCGGAACAGCGGTTGGACATAATTAAGATAGCTCTCATGTATAACTAAGGGTTCACTTGGCTGTTATGTGTACACTTGTTGTAGCAATACTTCGGTATTAGCCATGTGTGGATCGAGCGTTAACATGGTAAAGTGACATTATGAATAGTTGTCTGAATTATAAGATGGGAAAAATTCGGTGCACAATTTAATAAATGAATTATGTGCATAGTTATTAGAAATAAGTGCTCAATTATCTACTTCAAATATTCATTATGCAAGTCGATCATGAAAATGTAACGTGTAAATTCTGGAGCAAAACATTAGACCAATTATTTATGCATAATTGCAGTCACGTCATCAAGATTCCATTGTAATGGTTAGCATATTTCACATCCTATGACATTCTAACATTAATTGCACTTGGGCGATTGCGTGCGTTCACCACGAAAAGAAGATTTAAAAAATTCTTGAAAGTAGGATTCAATACTTCATTCAACGTGAATATTGATTTACTCAACATCAATTAAATTAAGAATAACACACCACAAGCATGCACGGATAAAGCGTATAACTTACGCAGAAAAAAATGTTATATACTATGACACGCCATGTATAATAATACAGACACGTGCCATAAACAATTTAACTTCACGCACAAAAAACGTTATAATAAGAAGATACGCTGTAACAATTTAACGCATGCAACGAGTAGATACATTTTCAACACTGATGAACGAGATGAGCTACGATGATTTAATTCTAGACAAAATCTACAATTTCATGCCACACATCATGCAAATGGAACCTGATTTACAATGCTTGTGTTCGTTCAATGTACAAATGAAGCATGGAAAAACTGAGACATTGTTCCTAGTTTGGGAAGAAGGAAAAAAACTCTTCCATCGTAAGCCCAATAACCAAACTTGACATCCATAGAAGAAAATTATCCCAATCTTTCAGAAGATGTTCCTTATTCTGACCATAACGTTTTGAAAATATATAAAACTTTTAAAGTCTTGCTTTTAGGCTCATAAATCAGGCTCTGCATGTCATTGCGCCTGGGCACACCAATTCAATTGCTGCAGCATTTATAACAATACGAACACAAGCTGTTGTGGCGACCTTCAGAATAATAATTCTTCACAAATCAAACAGACAATTTTCATGAATATAGCAAATAGTGCATTTAGAATTGCGTTGAATCAAGTGTGACGTAGTTAATTCAATTAAAATTTTTGAATAACGAAATTGTTGGCTGTGGACAAAGTATGAGCTTTCGATCGGTAATCGAAATATCCAAGCAAATTTTGTTCTCATTGCATAGGCTTAAACCTTGCGTCGTCATTCAATTACATTTGAAGCTGATCAACTTTAAAGTTGGAAATAATATTGGCAAAGTCATTTTTGCAAGACAAAAGCTTAATTTAATCAATGACCAAGTTCAGGATCGTTTCTAAGATCAAAATATTCCACTATATAATAATTATATAATTGAATTTGAATATATACAAAGAAAAATTGACCGTTGATTACTTCTAATACCAACACAATTCCGAATTATTGAGAATTTCACGAAATTATGCGAGAGAATTGCATTATGTTGAGTTGTGAAGAGCCAGTGGTGAACGCACGTAATGCCCATGATTGTGATCGGTACAAGATAGTTTTCATTAAATGAAAAATTTAAGCATATGATAGAACAAATAGTATCTTGGTACTTTCTCATTAAAAACACAATGTAATAAATAAATCCCAATTCAGCGCAGCAACAGTTTCTGAAATAAATTTCAGTTAAAATACTGAATTTTTAATATATTTCTTGTTCGGAGAGCTTCTGGCATCGTTAAAATGGGCTGGATCTGTAGAGAGACAAAAGAATAAGTTTGCCGTAGAATTTAGTTTGGGATTATAAGAATATTAGATATTACATCATTGATGAATGAATCTTCCTAGGTCTCATTTGGATAGAAAAATAAAAGTGACTGATTGAATACAATTTGTGTGATCTCAGAGACACCTTTATTACGTTTGCTGTAGGAGTCACTTAAAAATCAAATATCTAACGTCTCAAGAAATTGGATTCTGGGAAAATGAAGAGCATTGAACTGACGATATACATTGTGAAAATTATTTATTATAGTTATCTAACAAAATCCAACACAGAAAACGGTAGAAAACGATAGAAGTCATAGAAAATTGGACTTCGATGGGTACTGATCAAGTCGAAACTTCAACCATGTGCAAAAAATGGCAAAACATTAAAAAAAAGTTTTTTTAGATGGTATTTGCCAATATTGGAAGGGAAAATAAAAATTATAAATGAAAAATCCTCCTAAAACGAGGAAATGACATTAAAACTATTTTAGGCTTTCAAGTGTTAGAATTCAATTCCGAGCCTAAAATATTCAATTGAAATCCTGGAATATTTCCGTATATGTAAATTTAGCTTGACCTTTTTCAGAAATAAATGTAATTAGTTAACTGATCACAGAAAGAATTAGCTTCTAAAAAAGATTCGTAAATTTTAACCTATAAAGACGCGATATGTTAATTTTATTATTATTATTTTGGAGCTCCGAACAAAATAAATGGATAGGCTTATTTACCCTTAACTTCATAGTCTAGCCATAGCAAAATACAAAAGTTTGAAGCAAAAGTTCTCAAATCAAATGATCCTTCAACAAGCTACAGAAGAACAATTCATTGAACGACCTCGCGCTATCGCTAAATGCACCGAAACATTTCGTTCATTTCAAATACTTTACCACAACATGTAACTCCTGCAAATTAGCTGTCAGTCAGGCGTTTAATTTTGCCCAAGTTCAAGCCTTTCAACGCAATTTTATAAGATGTTTTCAATCAATTTCAGAACTTTAGGATATAACTTAGCTAATTTGAGAGCCTAATTGTTGCATTAATCTGATTGTCCAGCGCTGTGGGCTCGAATCAGGAACTTGGTGTCACTGAACGGAACATAGCGAAGAACTCACGAAAGTTCCTATTAAAATGTAATAGATTTTGTTAATGAATGGAGTCTAGAGGCTAGTATTTACGCTCATCTTAAATGCTTTTGAATGTTCAATAAAATGTCGCGAAATATCGCGGACAATGAAGAAAAAATTAGCAGGATAAGCCATTAGAAGGATGCAGCTGACACATAAATTTGTTCCAATGCAATTAACCAGAAAACATGGTTAATATAGGTAAATAAAAAATGTTTGGATATTATAATTACTTATACTGCTGAAAGGTTCTCGGTTTTGGGGATAATTCAAAGCTGAAGTGAATTATTATGATTAATTTGAAGTATTTGCAGTTTTAATAATTATTTATTCTGGTTGGTCTCGTCTATAACATTCATAAGAAAATTCAGTTGATCAGGTAACAAAAACTAATTTATTTCTAAAATTTAAGTAAGAGAGTTGAATTGAAAAGAGTAATTTTTATTGGAAGCTCTTCACACATGTCTAATGTTTTCTACTCAATTGCAATTAAAATTTTGTATAACCTTGAAAATACCGATTTTGATCGAAACATCACGACGACATATGAACACAATCGTCGTTTTTGAACGTATGAACAATCGGTAATGTTCTTTATCACACAAATTAATTAAGGCTATGCAGGCGTCGAATTTCTAGCCAAGGAACCTTCCCAATAACACCATTATTAACAAAATGCAATTAAAGAACCCACCGTTCTCTTGGGATCCTTAATCTCTATCTCGATGGTGTCACGGAGCACGTTGGGAGGCGGTGGATTGGTGACGTCATCGTAGCGCGGCTGCAGCGTCAGTTTGTAGCCAAGGAACTCGCCGTGGATTGTGTTCAGGGGAGGAGGCTTCCAGTGCAGCTCTATGGACGACGATGAGGTGTTGTGGGCCGATGTGAACACTGGCTTCCCTTCAGGCTCTGATCGGGGAAACGTTAAACTACTTAAATAATAATAATGAATCAGATACATTGGCAGTTTTACATTTCATTTGGTACCCAAAGACCTGGTAACAAAAGAGCCGTCTGAAAACAATTAAGGGTTATAGGGGGTGGTTCATAAACTGTGATTCTCACACGAATAGTGACGGGCATAGGCATTTCAGATGGTACGAGAACATATTCTAGGCTTGAAAATTTTTGTGAGTTAGTCAGTTATTATTTTCGCAAAATTTTTGCGGCTTAGCAAGGTGGGTCAGCAACAATTTGTAACATTTGTCAAACGCCACTTAACTGCTCCCAAGAGCCTATCCCTACATTCAAACGGTAGTAGCGCAGTATTAAGTATTGAATTCAACGCGTAATTTTAATAACATATCACCTAGGCAGGTGCCGAGTAAGTCGTTTAAGAAACAATGGTTAAAGAAATAGTTGATTTTCTTAAACAAAGTAGCTAACATTCGCACATTACATCATAAGCCACGAAAAGCATAAGCTGCAAGTACTTCAATGCTATACAATGTGCTTCACATAAATCCGTGTAGTTCAGTAACCTGTTTACCCTTATTTCGATTTCAGAAGCACACATGCCTCTAACACACTTGTATACTTCTGAATAAACGCGTTCTACCACTTGTATACGCGTTAAATTTTCTCGTATGCCCAAGTGCGTTAATTACAGGGGCAAGGTTAACAACGTTAATAAATTTAATGCACGGTTTATCATAATGATCAATAATAATAGTTGAATTACTTTTATAAATGGAATTGTTTCATAAATATTTTCTGATAATATATAAATTATTTATCTGCAAATTAGGGTCGTTACCTTCAACGAAAACCGGAATGAAGCCTCACATCTGATGAATAGCGCGTGTTTGAGCAGCACTCGGCAATCGTCAGTAAGATGCAAATTAATGGACGTTGAGAATATATCATCGGTTTTTTCACTATGAATACTCGCATCATTGCAAGGTTGTTTATTGTGAGCCAAAATCTCGAAGACTTAATAGATAAATGAATTAAGACCATGACAAAATAAGCAAAGAAAACCCTTCAATTCTTAAACTCCATCACTGAATTTTACAGTAACTAATGATACTAATTATTATGTAAACTTCTCATCATATGGACCATGAATTGCGACAGCTTCTTTCTATAAAACGTACGAATCTTTGAAACATTAGATTATTGGCTAATGTATAATGTAATGTATCGTCGTTCAGTAGAGTTAAGGAATGATGAGCTCTCAGCTTTCATCGGATCGGTTGTGGCAGCATCGTAGACGTCTCAACGAATTTTTAAACCAAATTTCCTAGTTAATATATAATTATAAGTTTCTTCACTCGTGATGAGAGTATGGGAATTTTGCCTGTCGATGAATCGCCCAGTGCCGAAGAGACACGAATTAATACGCGATTTTGCGTACGAATGTTTCATTCAAATAGGGCATACCTTAAGATAGCTATCAGAAAAACTTGAAATTGCAATGTATAAGATAAGTTCAATCCGGATTCTGAAAATGAGATAATCATACGACATTCAGGCCATCAGCAGTTTTTTTGGCCGTGCATGAATTTCCTATTTTTAATTTAATGGGATTCAAATTCTTTTCTCGGATATGACTTTTATCTTGCAACATTATTTTTGCATTACAAAATGGGCTTATTAATATAGCTTTAAAACAGCCTACCATTTTGTATTATAATATTAGGTTGGTATGGCTCAGCGCTGCTTCCACAGAAGCAATAAAATCGAACTAAAAAGCATGAAAAAGTACATCAATAAACATGGCTCGAGTTAAGCAATAAAGTAGCTAAATACGCAAGAGATCATGCAGAGCGTTTTAAGAGACCAAGACACACGACTAGACACAGAAAATTTCATGAAAAGCTTTATTATATACAAAGCGACGGTGCTTGAGAGCACAGCGCCCCATGAAGACCGTAAGCACAGCCAATAAATTCCCAGTCTAAAGGCATTAAATTTCCGGCGAAGAATAAGTATGGAATCTAAGAGCGTCGATTGCAAGTTAGTGAGCGAGTGCGACAAGTGGAATGGTACGCATTATACAGCTTGTGCCGTCTTCCCGTGTTTGTTTCAATGGATATTTCCATCTATTGGTCGTATAGTGCACAGAAGTGAAACGCACGATTTATAACTATCGAGGACGGTTTTAGTGGAATCACTGCCATCAAAATTTACTGACAATCATATCAGTTATGTTCGTTCAACGCAAAATAATTATGTAACGCAGATCTTTGATTGGAGAATTCATTTTCACACTTCAAATTAATTTTACCAAGGAAGAAATAGGCCCAGACTTTTAATTTTCGAAGACATGTGACATTGGATAATTGCAATTCACTAAGCGCTTAAAAACAGACTAAATTAATAAAATGATTATATATTTCGTTAAGAATACAACGACATATGTTAGGCGAAGTGATTAGTTTCGGGTGGTAGAAGTATCACACAAGAAAGAAAACGTACATAAATAATAATGAATGGTGGAATGATAAATCTCATGCATACAAAGGACAAGGCTGACATAAGCAAGGGTAAACAAAGCATTAATTAGCAGGACCTCACAAATCAAGCCCAGACTTTCACTGCAAGCATAGGCTATTCCTGGAGTACGCGTTGCTCAGCACAATTTTAACTTTTTTACGCCAACAATGCTTGTTCCAGGAGGGAGTTTCGGTGAAGCGGCTGAAAATTGTCCAATTAGTGAAGGGCAAAGTCCGTCACGTGGAAATAGAAACTTCACAATGTAATTACCGCAAAATAAAGGCAATGGACGTCAAGGCAAGAAGTCAAACATGTAGCATGACAAATCCAACTTGGATCTGAGCAAAGAAGATACATTGTGCCCGTCAACTGCTCCCATTATACTTTGGCAAAACAAACAATGAGGTGAAAGGGTTTAGGCTGCTATTTGGAAGCCAACATATAGGCAGTTCTATGTAAATCATAATAGCCATAATTCTACACGCTTAAATATGACAGCACAAAAGAGAAAGACGGACATACGCTTAAATAAGACAGCACAAAAAGAAGACAGCTCATAGAATTAGGTAACAGCTTTATATTTTATATCAAATTGTGAGTGTATCGGAATTCTTGCTTGCTAATAAATGGTTTTAAAGGCAACAAATTAATGATAGCGATCTCAGCGATCTGGCATGCCCTTAATAATTATGTAATAGCAGGAGTTCTAAAAAACTGCATCATTCTAAAAACTGCATAACGAATGATGCATAAATGCATCATTCATTAGATACGGGTCGAGATTTATTAGATTATACTTGCGAGTGAAAGTAACACTACATAATTCTTTGGTGTATGGCAGGTAAATAGAGCGTCCATTGGGCAATTTATTTGCATTTGTCTCGAACAATGTAGAAGAAACTTCCATGAAGAAAATTATACCTACTTGATAACAAACCAAAACTTCAACATTAAAATGACGACTCCAGCTTAAAAGTCTCCAATGAAAGCCTTTTCGCGGATCCATGAATTGTGATTATTGAGAGTATCTTCATAAGAAAAATAAAATACGATGTGAAGGAAATTGACTGAGGATAATTGATACAAAATTCTGCAACAGCGATGAAACCATAGATACTGATTAATTTCAAGTCGATTACATCACTTTAGCTAAGTTTAGATTACTTTTAGCAGTTTAGTTTGTTAGATCGTGATTACTGTCAAAATAACACTAAATGAAATAGCTTGCATTAACAAAAAAAATTTCACGAGCATCTGCGGAAACAAATGCAGTTGCACCTTAGTAAAGATGTCATGATGAGGAAAAGGTTAACAACATAAATCAAACCTAGAAACTTGGTTATCAAAATCGCTACCGGTAATTCAAAAGAATTCAAAATAATTCAGGAGGAATCAAGATACTAAATTCATGCATTTCTGGTGTTCGCATGCGATGCAGCGATGACGCTCAATGGTTTTGAAAGCAGTTCTTCAAAAATCGAGATAAAGAAAAAAAATCTGAACACCGCCTGCAGAGATCGGGATAGCGGTTCCACAAGTACGCTAAAGGGGGGCCTCTCATTGATTCCCAATAAGGTCGAGGACTCGTTCTTTCAATTTCAGGACATTAACGTGAGGCTGGAGCGTGAAATGGAGCCTTTTATGGAAATGTCGAGACTTTATGCAGCACGCGAGATTGCACACATTATCCTACTTAAATGCTCTCATGATATGTGCCCATTGCCAAGGCAAATATAATCGCGGGACGTGGTGCACAGGAATTAGAAGATTAGCATGCTTGGTAGACACTCCGGTCACTGAATAGAGGTTGAAGAAGAGATTAAAAAAATATAACTCAGTACTCACTGCAGTGAGTGACAGAGAGCGCATTTTCTCGTCGACGAAAACGTGAAGTCACGGACAGACGGAAATGACGAGCACAATAGCGCTTTTTTTCTATAAATGAGAAAATGCGTTAAAAAGATTATTAAGCAATAACATATAACAAACATATGGCCGAAATGCTCATTAACTCAACAAAAATATGTTAAAATTTTCTTCTATTTTAGAAGCGAACTAATGACCTCAAAATCAGGATACGGTATCGAGCGACGTTGCAATTATCTTAATCTTTAGCATAAGAAGAATAAAGATAAAGAAGATAAAGATAAAACAGAAAATAGGCTATGTCATAAGTAGAGCTGAAAGAAAATATGGTTTGGTTTTCGCTAAGTTGCCAAACTTCAGGTACGTAACGCGGCACAATATTCAAATCGGTACGAAAAATTCAAACACATTATTTGAACACTCAAATGACTGATTGAAGAGTATTCCTAATTAATTTTGTTAGATTTTTAAAAAAACGAATATAGGAATGTAAATTTAACTACTTGCAACATAAAGAAGGGAAGGCTAACAAAGAATAGGTCATAAATATATACAGCAAGTATATGGCAGATACTTGTAATATTTTTCATGCGATAAATCAACTG